AACTCACAGCGATCCTCCTGCCTCAGCCACCTGAGTGCTGGGATTACAGGCATGTGCCACCATGCCCAGCTTCCTTTATATTTTATAGAAGACAGTCAAAAGTGGAAGTTATATAGAGGGTTTTCTTGTAATTAGCATTATAACTCCCTCTCCAAATATTCCACTTTGATAGAATTGATCAACCAATGTGAACATCAGTGAATGGGCGGTTGTATGAATAAATAATGATTATTTGTAAAACTGAACTTTGTATCCTTTAGCCAGTGGTATTCAGGGTTCTTCCCCAACATCTTGGATGATGAGACCTTCTAGACACCTGGTTCAGAGGCCTTGTCTCTGTCGTGCTAATTACTGAAGTACCTGCCTCAGGAACAGGTGACTCCATCAGTTGCCTGAGACATGAACTCCCTGATTCCACTGGCGGTGTCTCCGTGTAAAAATGAGCACACATTTCACAGAGACATAATCAGTTGTTTGTATTTTATAGTACAGTGTGAGATAAACCTGAGCATGGAGAGACTGGGATATGAATGGACAGTGGCCAAGCCGTACACAAAAGCAGAGTTTTAACCCGTAACCTGCAGCAATTTGCTCAAGAACCAGCCCCTTATCTACAATAAATAATTGTGGCAGCCAGTTTGCGCTGTAAGTCAAACCTTCAGGAACCACAATTGCTATCTGTAGTGAAAATCTTTGAAGCTAAACAACTTATGTAATAGCAGCTGTTTGGCCAAGACTTAACTGACAGATTCCTTGAACTCCCTCCAGCCTTGCCCTGCTTTTCACTTGGAAGCAATCAGGGAAATCCCAATCTGTACCTCTTACCAATCGCATAGTGTTCGGCTTGTAGTTAACTTGCTTCTGGCTTCTGTCCTCACAGCAACAGCCTTCAATTAGAGCACACCTGCATCTTTCCATTGTGTTCTTGTTTTGTTGGCACTGGGAAATGAACCCTGGGGCCCTCTATCACTAAGCTATACCCCTGGCTCTTTTAATTTTTAAAACCAGTGTGGTCCAGGTTGGACTCTGTCTTGTGATTCTCCTGCTTCAGCCTCCCTGAGTGCTGGGATTACAGGCATGGGACATGGTAATGTCCAGCCTTCCTTAAAGCTTTCCTACTTCTCTGCCTGCCTTTGAGGCTCTGCCTAAACGTAAGCGATGATGGTTGACTCCTTTGCTATAGCAAATGCAGAATAAACAGTCTTGCTTTTCTCATTTATTTGGCCACGTCTTTATTTGCACAGCACCGTGGCCTAATAAATAGGCTTTGTGAGCCTACTGGTTTCTAAGTTATCCCAGCTGCTACTCATTCATTAAAGAAACATTAACTGAAAGTTTGACATGGGCCATATGGAAACAGTCCCCCAACTAGAAGACAGCAGCTCGGCAGCCAAAGAGGATAGGATGACTTGCAATCCATTCAGTGGGCATCAAGGTGTTGGGGCAGTGTTTTCTAAAAGTGGTATATGAACTGCTGGCTGCATGCGATAATTCCCAGGAAGTTGAAATGAGAGGAAAACTTTTACTTTAACAATTATAAAATTGAATGCAGATTAGAGAAATAGGCATTCAAGCCCACCAAACCCTTGACTTCACAGATATTGCTTTAGAATTAGCAAAAGTAAAAGTCTAGTAGGGAAGGAAAACCCACAGAAGGGGAAAGAAGAAGGCACTCTGCCTCTCTTAGCTCTTCCATGGATTCTTTGGCTGGATCTAGGAATTAAATTAAGAATTAAATATAAGAGCTCCATAATGAGAGAAAAGCATAAAAGTTTTATGAATTTTATATGTACACGAAGATCTTCACAAGACAGTGGAGTCTGAAGAAACGACCAAAGTGTGGTGCTTCCGCACTTTACAGACACAGAATAATAAATTTATGGTGCAGTGACAGGACAAATGAAGATCCGGACTCAGGCGGTAAATTCCAGGGATGTTCCTAGGAGATACATGGGGAGTGTAGAAGTTTGTAGAGATAAAGTTTACTTCAAAGGGTTTATCTAGTCTCACTGCAGTTTCAGTTACTGGTCTCTGAGGTCAAAACTATTTTCTAGCCTTCCATTCCTTCCAAAAGAATCTTTAGGGCTTGCTGCATGTGAGGGAAAAGGCCAATGAAAAGACAGGCCGAAGAACCCTTTGTGAAGTCACAGTTCCTCAGATGATTTCAGCCTGAAATAATCGATAGACCAACTTGGCATATTTTACTTTATCTCCTTCAACACCCTTATTTTAACAGAGACAATCAATATAAAACATTGTTAATCGGACTCGAAAGAACCACAAAAGGCAGAAGGAGAACAGTAAGATGTCATGTGGAAAAGTGGCCACCTGTAGGGAACAGGGTGAAGTTGTTAAAGTTTAGATGCTTGGAGGGGACCCAGAGAGGTAAAACTCAAGGATTGCTGCTCAGTTAGAATTAGTGCCTTGGAGCTGAGCCTGAGGGTGTGGTGGGAGGGCGGCGGGCCAAGGTATGGGCCAAATGTCCGAGAGGAAGCTGGGGTGGGGTTGGTGCTGGGATGTCTCTGAGAGGTTGCTATGGGGCTGTTTCAGCAAGGATTGCAAGCGCTGTAAACTGGCCCTGTATTAACAATTCACGGCAACACTGCCCTCTGTGGGTGAAGGAGTTCTGAGCATGACAAAGGAATGGGCAGCAAGAGGAAGTGGATAAAACCAAAACCTTCTTTCTCTAACCTCCCCACCTCCCTCTAGCCTGCATCGGCTAATCTCAGAAATGAGCCAGCTAGGAGAAACATGGTTGACTTAGTCCCTGACCAGTTCTAAAAGCTGAGTACAGTCAGACCTTGATGGATCGAAAATACTCAAGTTGTCTGTACTGTAGACTTTATTATCCCCTGAATAATAGCGTAACAATGATTTATGTAACATTTCCATTGTGGTAGGTACTGTAAGCAATCTAGAGATAATTTAGGGTCTAGTGGGAGGTGTGCCAAAGTCAGATGCATATAGTACACCATTTATGGAAAGGACTTGATTATCCTCGTACTCTGGAACTCTTAAGGAGCCCTGGACCTAACTAAGCCCCATGGATACCTATGATGATACCGAGGGTGGATACCGAGGGTGAGGTTGGGTCAGATAGGAGCAACAGCTTACAGTCTGCTACAATGCATGGCCTTCACATTCAGCTGCCATGACGCTCTGCTAAACATGAACTTCCAGCAACGAGAAATATCCATTTCCACTTAATATATTGCAAATGTTTTTTGTATAAAAGAGAACCTCACAGTCTCCAAAATGAGACACAAAGTTTCAGTGATTTCTGGGAAAATCACATCACTCATCTCTCTTTTTTCTTTGGTACCAGGGATTGAACTCGGGCCCTTGTGAGGCAGGCGCCAGAAACACCCAGCTAAATCCCTGGCCCCATACTATTCATCTCTGACTTTGCTAATTACAATTCCAATTTAGTCCCAAGGCTGGGGATTTAGCTCAGTGGTACTGCGCCTGCCTGGTAAGCACAAGGTCCTGAGTTTGATTCCTGGTACCACACACACACACCCACACACACTAGTCACAGACCCCCCTGAAAATTAAGACTAAATAGCAAAGGCAATCCTTTAAAAAACATAATAAGGAAAGAAGACACTATGATGTATGCACACACTAAAGAACGAAGTATGTGCAACTGCTGCAGTAATTTTTTTTTCTGGCAGTGGTCCCTCCCAGGCTGTAGTTATTAAATTTCATTCTCCCCTACTCGTCCCATGTTTCTTCTCCCCACAGCTTCTCTGGGTTTATACCTGGTAGTGTGTCCCACAACTTCATTGCCTCAAGGGTCTAAATCATTCCTTCCCAAGATTGTTTTCTTTTAAAATGTCATTAAGACACGAAGTGCTAAAAGGCCCTGGTGAATTCCCTGGGCCCCACATATAGCTCCCTCACCTGCTGTGTCGAAACGGCAGATGCCCCTTTGTTGCCAGATCACTTGCACAAGCCAAGAGTGTGAACTCCTTTACTGGTTGGTTTAGTGGTAAAATGACTGGATGGCCTCAATTTGTCTTAATGGAACCGTGGTTGTATCCCCTGGTGGGAGCACTCCTCGCCTGGAAAGTTACCAAGGGATGCAGGAAGCAAAGCAGATCCATGCGGGCAGTGGGAGTCTTTTCCCCTAACTTCGCTTATTACTGATCTCCTTTTTTGACTGGGCAACAGCCCCACATAGTACTCATAAAGTCAAAGCATGTGTTTCTCTTTGTAGAGTACCGCAACTTACCCAGCACCACGTCTGAGTCTTCAGGCCACATCACTACCCTATCGTGCCTGCTGCTCCTGAGCTATAGTGAACACGGTATGGCCTGGAAACGCCAAAAGCCTAAGCCCACCAGCTTGTTTCTTTTAATGTACAGTGAGATGGGCTTGTCAATCAGAAGTAATGGTGAGCTGAATGCCAGGAGTCCAATTAGTGGATTGCAGCGCTGGTAAAGTATGAGGGAAGGACGGTCAGCTACGGCTCCAAGAAAGCGAGAACTAGAAGGTACACTGTTCCTACCCTCACAAGGAAAACGGATCAGATTCTGTAATTGCATAACTCAGAAACAAAGACAGAGAGAATCCCAAATCCGGAGATTCAGGGAGAGAGACATGTACTTCATTTACTTGCTAGGAACAAAATTAAATAAAGTCACTTATTCTCAAAAGTCCTCGGTATACATCTTGAGACAGATACAACTGTATGTTTCTGTGCTTATTTGGCATAGGGTTTAAGCTGGAAGATGTTCTGGTCAGTGGTAAATCTATCAGGCTGTTCCATAGAATCTTTTGACACATAAAGGTAATTTCTAATAGTTCAACTTAATATATCACTATATTTTAAATTTATGTGTAGTTTTAGGAAATACCTAGATAAAATTTATCATAATGAATTAGACTAAAGTTCTTACTTGAAAGCATTACTAAGAAAACAGAAAAAAAAAATATGCTGAAGCAGACGTTTTTTGCAGAATTTTTTTTTTTAATTCAATGACTTCAACAACAAAAAAAAAACTACCCCAAACTGAACAATGGACTGGTAGTATACAAATGCTTCAGGCTAGGTGTGTTTGTTTTGGATGAATTAATATATAATAAATTCTCACGACATCTGATTCCAAGATGAATGCATGGATTGGACTGACATGATTAATAATTTAAAGCAAAATATACACATAAGGGCAACTGAAATACTGGCATTAATTTGTAGGAGTCAATTCAACGTCAGTGACTGGAGAACTATATATTTAAAAAAATCTGAGGTAAAAAATCTTTAGTAAGCAAGCCTGTGCCTATGTACACCTGAAGGTCAAGCGCTGGAGTTATATTCCTGATGAATATGATTAGGAAAGGATGTATAACATCTACCACAATCTGTTTCAAAACCAGCATGTCTCCAAAACTATACATTTCTTTACAAATCAACATTACACATTAGCAACTAGAGAGACACCATTAGGATGAGTTCCAAAACATGCTGCTTTCATGGGCATCCCTTAGCTCATTTTGAAGGTACACATTTTAATCTTGGGGCTTTAAGAACATTTTCTTTGTTTTAACTGGTTTTGTGTTCCCATTTTCATCTTCTTCATAATTGGCACGGTCTCTCTTCTTGGCAAACTTTTTTCCAATTGTCCCCACCAAAGTCTCATACCTGTTAACACAAATAAAGTTAGGAATCAAGTCTTGTCAGGGTTACTGAATCATATACAATAAAGAGTAAGAAAAATGAAAACCACAATTAAAAGAAACCATCTGATTGAAAAATTTATGAATTTCTTTCTTTTTAAAGCTTGTGTGTCTAGTTTATTTCACTCAAAATTATATTTTCCAAGTTCATCAATTTTCCTATGAAAGTCACACATCTGTTATTCTTTTTTTTCCCCTCACTGAGTTTATTGGTACATTTTAGTTATACAGTAGTTACGTTCATCATTGGGATCTTATACCTTTACATGACAGCTCTTGGTTCTCATTTTTTCCCCTTACCCCTTGCCCTTCCTTTAGTCCCTCCTCCCTTCCCTATTTAAAAAAACTTTATTTCCATTTTTTCATTTTCTCCTATTTTTTCTTGTCCCTCATTACCTTTCCCCTACCCTTCCCACTTCCCCTACACCTTTAGCCCTTTTCTTCCTATTTCACATTGTCAATTATCTCATTAGGATCTTATGTACAATTATAGTGTTTCACACCAGAGAAACTATTTGGTATTTACACACGTGTGACTTATTTCACTTAGGAGCATATCCTCAACATGCATCCATTTTCCTATGAATGACTCTAATTTCTCATTCTTTATGTCTGAGTAGTACTCCACTTTATAGAAAAACCACGTTCTTCATCCAGTCTCCAAGTGATGGGCTGTTTACAAGTTTTAGCTATTACAAACTGTGCCACTATACACATGGGTGCACATATATCACGGTGGTAAAAATTTATGAATTTCACTAAGAAGGTTAACCCCTTTGCTTGTTTTGCTTTTTAGCATTATCCCAAATAAACCGCGCGGCGCGTATCTGAATGTGTGGAAGTGGCGCTGGAGAGGAGCCTCTAACAGCTCAGCAAAGGCACAGACCTGCCCCGGCCGTAAGGGGGGGCAGAGCGCAGTGACCCCTCCAGGGCACTCATGCCGAAGGTGCGGCGGAAGGGGCCATCACACATGCACACACGGCATGGCGGCCACCACGCCGCCCCAGGGCAACACTTACCTTCTAGCCATTTCTTCATCTGACACGTCGAGCTCTACTGTTCCATCTTCCTCTTCCTCCTCTGCTTTGTTCTTAGCATTCATCTGAAGCATTAATTTCTGAAAATACACCAATGCTGGCCGTCAGGACTAGAAACAGGTGTGAAAGGAACTGGTGTCAAATGTATGTGAAGACAAAGAAACTGAATCTAGAGGACTAGAAGAATTTCTAAAGAGAAACTAGAGGAATTTAGAAAAATCTCTAAAGGATTTCCTGTAATACTTTACGCAGGGCGCCAGTGCTAGCAGAGGTCCACTCCCAATCAAAGGGATCACAAGGCAAGGCCCCGCCGGACTGCATTTAGTATCAAAAATTTAAATTGCATTTTAGAACATAAATCTCACTTTGTGTCACTCATAATTAAGGTGGGTACACCTTCATGAACACATTCCGGGGGGATAAATGAACTTTGAGATTTCTTCTGACTTCCTACTTTGGAATCCAAAGTAGAGAGGTGCAACGGTTGTCAGTAATTTTAAAAGCTGCCACGGTGGAGGAGGAGGGAGCTGCCAGAACAGAACAGAAGTGCAAGCCTGGCCCTGATCGGAGGACGGAATCTGCATCTGAAGCTCACCGCAAGCCTTGAGGTAGAAAATGTATCACACATCAAGCCACAGGGCTTTCCTCTATCTCTTTCTCACACATGATTAACCTTTTCATGATAGTTATCCTGACAGATTAAAAATGAAAACAGGATAATACCTTCTGTAGGGGAGGGTGAGGAAGGTAGAGGGATGAGAAAACAGTTTCAACTAGCTTTCCTCACACTCAAAGGATTCACATCTTTTGAGGAAGGGTGCTCAGTATTCCAGAATGCTGCGGTTAGGGCCGCCTTCTGACAAGCTCGACACAAAGTTCTGGGGGCTGCCTTGCCTCCCTTCCCACTACCAGACATACTCTAGTGGGTGTGTCCACCCAAAACCCAGCTCTTTGGATTAGGCACACTCAGAAGCCCGACATGTTTTGCCTTCCTTTTCTTCCCACCAAAAGCTTAAAGCAGGTCAAAGCAAAGAAAGTATATATTAAAACAAAACATGGTTAATGTTGGCCTTGTGTAAATACAACAGCTTAGTTACCATGCATACTCCTAAGTCACCACCCAAAACAACAAAAAACAAAACAGAAAGAAAGAAAAGAAAACTAACCCATCATCTTTAAATAAACCCTAGCAATGGGCACAGTAAACTTTCTAGAGGGATCCTAAAGTAGTGGTTCTCACCTGGGGATGATTTTGCCCACTGGGGGATACGTGTCAATGTGTGGAGACACTTTTGGTCATCACCATGGGTTGAAGGGGGGTTGTGTGTGCATGTTAGCGCATGTAGTGAGTAGGGGGCAAGAGCCAGAGATGTTGCTGTTCATCCTGCCATGCTCAGGAAAGGTGCCACCACAAAGAATGACCTGGTTCAAATGTCAACAGTACTGCCAAGGGTGAGAAACCCTGGCTTAAAGTGTACTCATAAAACTAAACATTTATACCACACATGTCTATCTGGACGGTCACGTAAGTCGCTTACAGGATGGCTCTTGACGTACAAGGGTGACCTTTATGAACAATGAATACTTTAAAAATACAGTAAGAGACACATTGCCGTTAATTCCCCTCAAAGCACTTCCTTTCTCCTCAAGCACACTCATCCCATGGCTCCTTCCACTCTCTGGGGCAGTTCAGGAAGGCCTCGTTTGTGTCCGTATAAGATGTGATCAAAACAGGGTGAATGCTGCTGCTGAGAGCCATTCAACAGGAAGGAAAGCTTGTACAATCACTATGATGTGCCCTTAACCACCTTATTCATCAGAGATCACACCGTGTGATTTCTCGCTCTTCCCCAAAGCTACAATGATCACAAAAGCTAAATGTTTTGAACTGATTTAGGACACCGAGGCAGCCATGACAGTGTAACTATAGACGCTCATGAAGGAGGACTTCCAGAACTGCTTCATAAAGGGGCAAACATGAAGAGGGAAGTGTGTGGCACATGAGGAGGGTCCATCTTGAGGTCCATCACTGAGCTCAATTCCTGGCTCCTGGAGGGTTACATCTTGAGGGGGACTAATGGCAATGTGTCTTTTATGGCAGTACATTTAAACATTCACTGTATTTTTAGATCACACTTAATAAATGTGTTAAATAAAGGTCTGCTTCTCTGCAAACCTACAGCAGGCAATTTTAACCAATAGCTCAGTTACAAGGTAAATATTCATTTTTTCAAATGACTTTCCAAAGGATTCACTTAAAAATCTATTTATAAAACCCGTCTATTAAAAAGTCAAATTACACAGATTTTAAGTAACATTTTTTCCATTAGAAAAGATACATTTACAGATGCCAGAAAATAACTTTTCATAACATCATCATATGCATAAAATCCTGACATTTCTATAAAAGACTTGAGTTGAAATTCTAACAGAAGCACCGCCAGGGTCTGTATACTGCTGTATTAAATGATCTACTCAATTCTCCCATAAAACTAGATTGCAATGCCTGCTATTTCTTTAAATAGCTATGGCAGTATTTTAAGACTTGTTATTTTTATATAATGAGGAGAAATGGTACCTGGTGAAGAAAAACCTACACCTAACTACTGGCAGAAAAAAATTCAACTGGAAAATTCTAAAATTTGAAGCAATTATATTTAATACCTCAACTTCAGGATTAAATCCTCTGAATGACATTCTTCCATAGAGAAGATCTTCACATAACAAGAAACTCTGCTCTTCTATTATGAAACTTCTAAATGGGGGGGAAAAACTTGTATTAATAGGGTGTCTACTTACAAAAAGCAGAAGAAGCAAAAACCAAGACTTTGAATGAAAAATCAATCCCATGGCACTCAGCAGGATCAAGTACGGATACAGGAAGATTTCTAACCCAGGGATAGAAACAAAATTTGATTAATTTGGTCCACAACAGCATTAGAAGAGAAGAGCAAAAGGTGGGTGGACAGCCTCTTCTAAACACTGTGCCTAAATATTTACATGAAATTTCAAGACTTAGGTATTCATAATAAACTTGAAATTAAGTCCACAGCATTGAGAAAAGTAGCTACCAGACCCTGAGCCTTCCTATATGGCTTCCTACCTTGAGATTGTTACCTCCTTCTCCCACATGAACTCATCATGAGGTTCTTGCCAAACCTCAGCTGAGGACTAAGTTAGATAGAGCAAACGTTACATACTTGAACCTCCAGAATTGAGCTAAAAAAAAAATCTCTTTCTTTTTGAAGTTACCCAGCTTTAGAAACTTCAAAGAAGGGGCTACTACACAAGGAAATATATGATTACATTCAGTCCATTCACATAGTCCAGGATAATCTCTCACCTAAAGATCCTTAGCCACAGCAGCAAAATCAGTTTTCCCACAACAGGTAACGTACACAGGTTCCAGAGAGTGCAAAAGTTTAAGTAAAACCATATACCACAGAGCTCACTAAGGTAAGACAATTATTAAGGAAAAAGGATAAATAGCTTCCAGAAGCATTTAGGCAAACCGATGATCTGAATCCATCTCCTTCATTCAAACTTTCTTTAAGTACTAGCCATGCTCGGAGGTTGAAGGGAAACTGTCTGGTGTAGTATCCCAACTTCAGCACTGACTAAGCTGGGTGGCTCTGGGTATATTACTTTCTGTGAACCTCCAGCTGATCAATGGACAGAATGATAGTGGGCAGTTTGCTATGAGAATTCAATAGCTAAGGGATGTAAAGGGCAAGTCTAGTGTCTGGAACATACTACAGACTCATTAAAGTTTAGCTAAATGAATGGCATTAAAAGTAGTAAAAACTGAAAAGAGAAAAGAAACAAAAAGCTCTTGATTTGCCTTAAGCTCAGCTTAATGAAGAACTCTATCACTGAAACAAAACCGAAGCAGCCTGCAGCACACATTTAATCTTTGGAACTCCATGTGATAGCATCTTACAGTTTCCCATAAAACACCCCTTGCTCTTATCAGAGATGCAGAGCCTAAATCCTTTATTCATATGTTCAAAAAAGGACAGTGTTATCAATGATGGTCAGGTGCCACTAAAAATGTAGTGAATCCATGTATAACTTTTATAAGCTTAATAGTTTTTAGAAAACTATTTGCAAGGCTAATTCAAGAAATGAACAGAAACTATTCTACGTCATAAGAATTGAGTCAAATTTACAGGGATGCCCCAAGCATCACTGATATAAATTCTTATAAACCTACTCTTTCTCTTTAAGCTCTGGCAAATCCAAGTACCAGTGCTCTTCACTAATGATCTTCTTTTCTTCCTCTTCTAGCTGTTTCTTGGTTTCTGAGTCCAGCCCTCTTTGCATGAACTGTCAAAACAAAACAAAGTTAGTGTTAGCACTATTTTTTTGCCTTGCATTATTAGTACTAAGGCTGCATCTGATATACAAAAAGAGCTCAATAAAGGGTATTCTGTAGGTGAATGACCTGGCTTTGTCTTATTTTTTTTTTTTCAGACTCTTTCTTAGGTGGCTCTCTTGAAATGCAGATGCTTTATTTCATCACTCATATTCTTGGTAAAACACCAATCCTGCTCAGCTGCCCATTTACTTACCATTTTTTAGTGAAGTAGATATTCTTTATGGTATACAAATAGCAATATATGTCTATGTTTGGTACACGTGGAAAGGACAGAACACTTGTGAATCAAGTACCTTGAGACTTAGGTAGCAGCTCGATTCTCCTGACACTATAGTATCTCAGAACACATCATAAAGCTAGTCAGTGTCCTTCACAACTGAGGACCCAGAACAGAACAGGCTTTGGAAAACCACAATGGTAAGGCTGGATGTCTGCTGCTGAATAGTTTTACTGGAAAACAGTCATGCTCATTTAGTTCTGGATGGCAGTGGCAGAGCTGAAGTAGTTGCAACACATACAGACTGGCCCATAAGCCTAAAATATTTACTGTCTGATCCTTTTCAGAAAAAGTTTACCAAGTCCAACCTTAAAGGGCCAAAAAGACACTACAATCAAATAAATGCCTTCCCTACAGCCAATCTATCACACTGGTAAACTTTCCACCTACATCCCTTTTTTCTACTTCCCATCAGGATCAACTTCCACCCTTCAACAGCTGATGCTATCAGCAGAGTTTAAGAGTTCTGAAAATAAGTGAGTCAGGATCAAGGCTCAGTGCTCTCCCATCAGTCCTACACTTAGCTCTGGGTGAAAAGAGACACTGGCTATGATGCTGAGTGCAGCTGCTCTGTTTTTCCAGTGGACCCTACTCTCTGAACACAGCATCTCCTGCTACGTGCTGGTAAATTCAACGAGTGAAGCTGCTAACCCAAACAGAGAACCTGAATACTTTTTTCCCTATTCTCCTTTGTTTCTAATATCCAGATGAATCTTTCCCCATTCACTTAGGTGGGGATGGACTGTTTTAAATTAGTTTCTGCCTTAACTCCAGAGTTCAACCTTCAGTCTAAGTAAACCCTAATCACCTAGCACATCTTCACTTGCCTTATTCTAAGAGATAAAACTACTGCTAATTTATCTTTTCAATGCTTAAATGGCCAAACTACTCCATTTCTCTCAAATCAATGCAATCTAAACCATTAAACCAAGAGAAAAATCTCTTCAGTGAAGACTCAATTTTTGCTCATATGCATAAGAACTATTTTGCAAACTATGTTATGCTACAATTTGCCCTCCTTTCTGATCGTATTCATTCCTAGTTACAACTTTGCTCAACTCCATTCAAATTTTGCACATTTCCTCAAAATATGACTTATACCTTCCTTTTCTTGGAAGTTCTGCCCCTCTCTACACATGACATCTAACAGTTTGAGTCACTCTAATTTTTTTTCTTGGTACTGGGGATCCAACTTGGGACCTGTGCTTGCGAGGCAGGTGGTAGAACCAGTGAGCTAAGCCCCCGGCCCTTGCATCTCTCCACAAGTACAGAGGATCTCCAAATTAAAATATTTTGACTTATGAATTTTCAATTATATGATGGTGGGAGAGCCAGGAGTTCAAATTTTGATCTTTTTCTGGGCTAGCCATAGGCAATATGTTACTGTCGGATCATACTGTGGAACACAGGTGAGCTAGAGTTCCCAGACAGCTATGCAATCACCAGGGCAAAGTACTGACACTCTACAGAATTCAGTGTTGCTAAACTATGATGCTCAGTAGGTTAGGTGTGTTGAGTGCATTTCTGTTATTGTTGACTTACAATGGATCAAAGAGCATCTACAATGTTCAGAGACAGGTAGTAAAGAGTAATAAGACTAATTAAGTTGTGTAACTTTAGGCATGTCACTTCCGTTTCACTTGCCTTAGTTGTCAATAGAGGGATGACTGTAGTCACCTAAAAGGGTGAATTATGCAGGTTACTACATGCAAAACACTTAGAACCTATCTGGCATATAGCAAGGAATGTGACTATTTCCTTTTTGCATTATCTAATTTTTAAAGTTTGGTAGTTGCCCTGTTTTAATTCCTGTGTTCATTTTATCTACTGTCTTTTTTCTTCCACTTTGAAACTGTAATTAAGCTTCAATTTCAAATTTAAAACTATTTTGTGACAACTCACTTTCACTCAACTGTTATACATCCCTCCATTCTCACCTCAATCATCACCCTCACCAAGATTATTAGAACTCCCAGCTGATCTACAATTTTGTGCCTTGTCTGGCCCTTTTCCCATCAATGTATTCTCCACAGGATAATTAATCTTTAAAAGTTAGGTAATACAGCTAATGACATTGTTCTCCATGCTCCTTCATTGCGTCCCATTGCTCATACAAAACGAAAAAAATCTTTAATCTGTCTAACGTTTCCTGCAGGTCGTGCCTACGGCCTACTTTCCTATTCCCTCTTTGCTGCTTGTCTTTCAGACACAACTCAGTGTCTTTAGTTCCTGGCAATCTCCATGTTTTTCTTTTCTTTCTTCCCGCTCAGACTTAGGAATTCGCTTTTCCTTGCCTGCCACCGTCCCTCTTATCTTTAGTTACTACTTAAGGACGACTTCCGGCAACTAAGTTCCCAGAGTCCCAGAGTACTTTTCTGCACTCGGTTCGCTGTATCTTTACCGCATGTTTAAGTGCACGCAGGCTCCTAATTCATAATCTGGTTCCAAGTGTGTAATACTGGCCCGGCCCTGAGTGAATGAATGAATGCGAGAAATGGAGGCCTTTCAGGTCCTCTCTGGTCTCCCTCCCACCCCCGTATGGCCGCCGCCTCGGCTGCAGCCAGATCCGGAGGTCCCTGGGGGCCCTGTCGCCCAGTCCGGCTCTCCCAGAACCCCCACACCTTCATGCGTAGCAAGTTCTTGGACAACTTGGTCTTGCGCTCAGCCGCCATGCTGGCTCCAGCCCGGGGCAGCGTTCCGTCCTCAAGTCCCACTGCGCATGCGTGCTCGCGTGCGTCGGGCAGCGTCATACGTATTGTGCGTCGCCCCGCCTCGCGGTTCCTCCTCCGTGGCTGTCTTTGCCAAAGAGAGCTCCTCGACAGTCACCTCAGGGACCACTGGTCTCTCGGAGTAGCTAGGGTAAGGGCGTGGGTTACCGAGGAGAGGGTGTGAGTGACTTACAGCCGGTGGGCGGACCTCGAAAAGTGTGGACTCGGTGAAGCTCTCAACCGGACGTCTCTGGGGCCCAGCAGGGTGTGGCCTCGGCGTTGGCCTGGGGACTTTTCATTTCCAGAGGCCCCCTTCCCTCTACGCTTCCCGGCCCCAGTCGTCCCAGCGAACCTTTCACGTAGTTTCCAGACATGCGGTCCTCCTGGGCCGTTTATTTAGCGTGCTTTTTAACATGAGTGGTGAGCACCTTGTATTCCGAGTCGATCTACAAGTCACAAGTTCACTTCATAGTCGCAGTCGCTGGTGAGGCACTGTTGTCACTGTAGCAATCTTACAGAACCTGGAGAAGGCTGTAAAGCTGAGCTGGCTTCGGAATGGCCCTTAAACACAGTGCTACAAAGACCGAGGGAAACTGGTAGATTCACCTATTCACTATTTTGTGCGTCTTTGTGTTTGAATATTAAATAGGAAGAAAGGCAAGAAATAGCAAGAACTGTAGGCAGAGGACACAAGACCTTGTTTTAAGCTAAAGAGTTGAAAGAACATTGAAAAGAGGGTAGCTTTATTGTTCAATGCACTAGGTTCCGCCTGACATTTTTTTCGATCTATCACATGCTGTACACTTTGGAAACATCCAGCAGAGTAGCATTTGATCTTGTACTATATGTCAAAACCACGAGCTGGATATCTTATCTCGTAAAAACTGTGACGAAGGTATCGGTCGTATATTAGGGAACCTGAAGTCTAGAGAGGGTATGAGACCTGCTAGATTAGTGTTAAAGCTGAGATTCAGAAAGCATTTTGTGTATTAAAAGCCTTGCAGTTTTTCCTCAGGAGGAAGGAAAAACATAATGTGCTAAATGTTTGGGGAAACTCATCCACTGGTAACTACGAGTGAGACCCTAGAGTACGACAGTGCATCAAAACACATGACCACCCTTTCTTGGAGCTGACATTTGAGACATAAATGAGTGGGAGTGCCATGGAAGAAAGAGAACAGTGATGTGATAAGAGCGACTTGCAGGGTTACTTTGGATAAGATGGTCCAGAATGGCCCTTGTTAGATAATTGTGTTAAGGCTTGAATGTTGAGGAAATTCTGTTGTATGAAGAGTTGGAGGTAGAGTGTACTAAGAAGAGGGCATAGTGACTATAAAGGTCCTGAAATGAGAATGAGAAAAAAATTTCTATTTCGTAGAGGTTAGCCACATACAGGCCGAACAGTGTCCCTTAAATTTCAGATATTGAAATCCCATCCCCCACCTCAGAATATGACTGTATTTAGAGATAGGGCCTTTAAAGATTAAGTTAAAATGAAGCCTGTAGGGTGGATCCTAATCTAGTATGTCTGATATCCTTTTTTTGTGTGTGTGCTTGGTATCAAAATCAGGACCTCATATATTCTAGACAAGTGCTTTATTCCAGTAAAAGAAATTTTGAACACAGATACCAGAGGTGTGTGTGCATAAAGGAAAGGCCATCTGCAAGTCAAGAGAAGTCAAACCTATCAACACCTTCCTTTTAATTGTGAGAAGATAAATACAAGCCACGCAGTCTGTATTTTTTTTTTTTTTTTTTTGTGGTGTTAGTA